ATTTTAGAGATATATATAAATATAGTAAACTGTAAATATTATTAAGAGATTCACATAAGAATAAGAACTGTCCAGTGTGCACACTTTTTCCCATTTATATATTTTTACTATTTGTTTTTATTGTTACTCTTTTATAAAAATATTCTTTAGAAATGAGCAATATTTAATATTTGGGAAAGAGTGTACTATACTATTTTAAATAATTGTAAAAACATACCATTATAATATATTAACGTGTTATAATGCGTTGATATGTAAATTGCATGTAAAGTATCAAAAATACAGCCTCAAATGCGAAAAAAAGAGAAGAGAGTTTAAAAAGATAAAGGAGAGTATTATAATTCCTTTTTTTTTTTAATTCCCATGTTATAAATTATTGTTTCATTCTTATTACTTATATCATTTATCGATGTTTATTTAGATATTTTTACAAAATATTCATTTAGACGCGTTAATAGTGACTGAGGACATTTTTCCATAATAAAAGGATACATTTATTTACAAGAATATGATAATTCTTAAACAAGCTCAATAGAAGTTTATTTTTTTTCTTGCAAAATCGATTCCTAGAATTACAAAATCTTAAGGCATAACACACGCGTGCACACACACGCACACACATTTATATATGTATATATATTTTACATATGTTATGTACATACGAGAAGTGGCCTTGTTTATTATATAAACATGTAAAAATAATAAATAACAATTGATACACGTCTTCTTCACAAATAAGACTTTTATATATATGCAGCAGTGTATTCTTTAAAAATAATTCATAGATTTTGTATAAAGATTTAAGAATGCCTAATTTATAGTAATAATGAGGTGGTCACCTTGATATGATTAGTTTTATACGCTTAACATCTTAACTGTTATTATTATTCTATGCTGTATCATAAATTTATATATTCCATATATAGAATATGGTCAACGCGATGTTACAAATGCTTTAAAGCGTTATTTGATTAGTCAATTCGTAAAATTATTTTTTTTTTGATCAATCAAACTCGCTTCAAAGCATTTGTAACAAGACTTTAACCACAATCATAGCCATATATAAAAAGCACCAACATGCATATTTCATACGCAATTAATCCGAATTGTGTCATTGAGAAATCATTAGTACATACTTTTTCCTTGTACTGGCATTTCTAATGAATCAAGTACCATCTGAATGAGGAAATATGTGGAAATATAGAAATGCATTGTATGCATCCGCGATCGGTACAAAAAATTTCACTTTTATAATATTAATTTTGTAGGAAAATTGTTAGACATTGAATGCAGAATATTTCAAGAACAGACAAGCATATGTTGCATTTTGTACAAACATCAAATTCGCATATAAATACGGGCAATATAAATTCATAGCAAGATCTCGCTTAAATAAAAATCACGTTGCTTTACTGCTTTCATTATCAGGTGCATATTGCGAGAATAAGGCAAATTTAGATTACAAAGTTAAAATTATAATTTACGCCTATCTCTTATGTAATAATTTATATTTATTATTATTATTATTATTATTATTATTATTATTATCATCATCATCGTCAGTACTTTATCACAAGCCAATAGTGTATTAAACACTTAAAATACTGTCAGTAGCTTAAAAGCTGCACAAAGCGTTGATAGAATAAGGACGTTTAATCTGATCTTATATCTTAGGTTGTATTCTGGAAAGATTAATCACAATATATTATTTGTCATATATACGATTTTTGTGGCATGAGTATTTTAAGATTCATAAGAAAAAGAATATAAGCCAGCCAATAAAAAAATCGCATATTCATTGCTAATAATATCTTATGCAGTCCATATATTCTTTGAAGATCCTAATTGGTTTTCTAAGTAAAAAATTTTAAACATAATATCCCATGTATGCACAACTGATGCAATTCCAGTGTCAATAAAGAAAGTTCACCATATAATGAAGAGAGTATTGTAGACAGAGGCAAGAGATTCTCTTCAAATTACTTTGTTAGACCTAGAAACAAAGCATGCCAAGAGTAAACAAATCAATATTCTAAGTATAATTTGTAAAAATATCTATTTCTGAAATTGAAATCGAAAAGAGATTAATTATTCAAAATTTTTTTAGCAAGCTCATTCAGATTCTCTTTAACTTTAAAAAAAACTGTGCATCTTACTGTAAATGTGCAAAAAAATAAGACACAGGCCAAACAAAATAACCTCTTACAGTTCTATTGTGTAATATGTATCCTTATAGATCCTAAATAGAGTAAGCATCGTTTCTACGAGTTTAATAGTGCGACGTTGTGTATCCCTCTTCCAAAATAAAGAAAACTTTAAACGATTGTTCCAGAAATGTTGGTGTGCATCACATAAAGAGTGTATATTGTGTCAATCTTCTTACCAGCCATTTCAATTATCTGGACACGAATGTAGATCTTGAGAAAAATGTATCATGCATTATTTCATCGGAACATAAAAAAAATTGTAAAAATTACAAGCTGTGACCTAAAGCTACCTACTCAGTGCCGGAAATAGACATGCAGCAGCTCGTACGATGCTGGGACTGCTGTTTAGAGAGATCGACAGTGTCTTCCACTAAAGGCCGCTCTAATCTAGCTTCCAATCGCGCCCATGCGTCAACCGCTGCCCCAAAAGCTGCCTCGACATTAGTGGCGTCTTTTGCTGATGTTTCAACTAACGGAGGATTACCATTCTCTGAACACCAAGCTTGAGCTTCTTCCATGTAAACTTGTTTCTCGGATTCAGGAACATCCACCTATAAAAAAAAAACATTACAAACATGATATAGGATTATTTGATAAAGATCTTGCTTATTTCATAAAGAAAAAACCAGAAGTGAAAATAAGTTCTTGAAATGCATTTTTTGGAAAAAATAGTCCTTTATGCTCATATTAAAAATCCTAAACTCATAACTTCAGATACCCCTTAATTTTTTTCGGAAATTAATAATATAAAAATTTTGAAATTATCGTATCGATTGATCATTTGGAAAGATAATAGATCTGAAGGAAAGGAAGAAAGAGTATTTATAATTTTTTAGGACCAATTGACTTTTTCCTAAGAGATACATAGAAGATATAAATATAATTCGGATTAATATTTTATCACCATTGACAATGTAGGCAGTAGATAGCAACATTGTACTCGGGTTCCTATTAAGCTGAACTATACTTATACAGGATGTTCCAAAAGTAACAATAAATCTTTCGCACAGGGACAGAATGGACCAAATTGAGAAGAAAAGTCCTCTATCATTTTACAATTTTCGGAATAATTAACAAGATATTAATTACTAAAAATTGTTAAAAATTGATCTTCAATAATTTTTTACTCAAATACTATTAACTTTACAAAAAAACTGCAAAAATTGTTTTTTTTTTCATAGAGCTTAAAAATTTTTTCAGAATTTTTTATCAACTTTTTAGCATTGCATTTTCTTATTTTTACCAATATGAGAAAATACGGTATTAAAAAATTCTCTTGCAGTTTTCTGTAAAGTTGATAATATTTGAGTAAAAAATCATTAAAGACCAATTTTCGCAATTTTTAGCAATTAATATTTTGTTAACTATTGCAAATGGACTTTTTCTCTCAGTTTAGTCCATTCTGCCCTTTTGCAAGAAAGATTTATCATTACTTGTGCAAGGAAAGATTCAGTACTAACTTCACGGTACAAAACAGGCTGGTATCTATAGTCGATTCTTACATTTAAGACTGTCTTAACCACAATCTTAAGATGTCGTAAGTCAATCTGAAGATTGTATTAGCATGTTAAGACATTATTTAAGACGGTTTTAAAATAAGAACGGTCTGTGAACGGTCGCCCCATATTTCGTGTTTCACAGTTGATAGTCTTTGAACCTTATGAACAATCCATAGACAGAGAGGGCAGAGATTTAGAGAGAAAGAAACTGTTCAACTGCACACACAATGATGTAAAAATACAAAGTATGACGTTCTCGCAAATGCGCAGTAGGAATATGAATTTGGACTCAAATTTGATTGACTGTTCTAGTATGTTATTGCTATTGTATGCAAGAAAATGCATTTGGATACAAATTTGATGGTTATTTCCAGTATGCTATCGTCATTATGCACAATGTTTTACCTTGTCTTATTACACCATGGCACACACCATGTTATCCTTCCATCATGATATCAGTTAGGCTGAAATCAGACTATGCATTGAAGATCGAGATTTCACTAATGAGGACAAAGAAATTTTTTGGTTTCTTTTATTCTGATTGGCCAAACATTAATCTTTCAATATTTAATCTCATTCTTCAATGCATAGTCTGATTCCAGCCTTAGAAATTTTCAAGTCAGAGATTGGATATCGTTTAGACAACTTCTGATTGGTCCGCCATATTCCTCAGAACGCTCAAGATAGAATGAGATAGATACAATATATATAGATGGAATGAGATGCATAGACCTCATTTTCAGGCATAATCTAACTTATTCTATCCCAAGCAGGTCCTGAAAAACATGGTAGGTCAAATGTATGGTATCCAATCTCTGACTTGAGGATCTCTCATATCAGTATCAGTGTGCTTCTCGCCCTGATAAAGTGAACTAATAAGGTTCATAAAACAACTGATAGCGGTAGCATTAGCAATTTTTGAAAAAAACTATGGAATGTCTGATGCTAGAATTTGCAATTCTTAGTATGAGCACAAAGGATTTTTGCAAAAATCATATTTCAAAAGCACATTTCCATTTCTTCCCTTTTAGTTCTTAGCACACCTTATTGCCAACAACAATAAATGGAAAAGTAGAACCCTCCTGAACATCTGCATACTTAAGAAATTCAGATCTCCATAGCGCGAGATTTTTAAAACTCGTCTTATCGTCTACCGCGTAAGTAAGCAGACAAATGTCTGAGCCTCTGTAAAATGGTGTTCTGAGAGTTTTGAACCTCTCCTGTCCAGCTGTGTCCCATATTTGCAATGTATATGCCTCGCCGTTGATCTCGATATCCTTGTTCAGAAACTCTACTCCGATGGTATGAAAACTATGTTCGTCGAAATGATTTGACACGAATCTATTCATAAGGCAGGATTTTCCAACACCACCATCTCCAAGAATCACCACTTTCAAGAGAGTGGATCTCTGCGAGTTTCGATTTTGAAGACTATTGCTGCCTCTGCCTATATTCACTGTTGAATTGTTTGCCAACATTTTCTAACTTGATATCTGTAGGCTTATTCTCTCCTCCCAATATCTATCTTAATATCTATCTTAACACGAAGTAAGTTTCAACAATTATTTCCAACGTGTGTGTACTCAACATTCATTTAAGTCTAATCGAATATTATTCTTATAGTTTCTCTGATCAGCTGGGAGCTCTTCAGTTTTTCCGAGCCCGTCAAATTATGTATCGTAACATAATGCCTTTTCACGTATTATCTGTGAGATATCTCCCTCCTTTCCTCTCTTCTTGTCACTCTTGCTTACATCAAATAGCTAGCAAGAGTATCTTGACATCTTTATTCTCTCGATTTCGATGCATAACCTTGATTTCGCGACTCGATCAGCGGCGAATATCTCGTCGATATCTCGAATTTCGAAGCCTCGGCGAACGAAAGACCGTTCAGCAGGATGAACTGGAGTCTATTTTCGTTTCCGTGATTTAATTCAACTGTCGCGTTGAGAGTAAGAACGAAAAATGTCCTTTATTTTATCGCGACACTCACGGGCGACGCGATTATCAACAACGATAAAGCATTCCTGCGTCTCCAACGGTATCGGTATCCTGAATCGTGTGTACCGACTTTCGATGCAGTTCTACCATCACTTGATCGAGAAATGCAGGCTGCGTCCAGATAATTCTAAGCTATAGGTTACGGTTACGTATATTATAGCAAAAATGCACCCTAGAGTTATCTAGGCGTAATTCCTGAACGCAGCCCTGGGCAGAGAAACCTGAGAGGGGTCATGCCGGTCTTTTTCCTTTACTGTCGAAATTGCCTGTACACTACCGCTAGTACATCCTTTTTCAGTTTGAGAACTATGTGATTACATACATTTTTTTACACTATCGATAAAGACTGGGTTCGGTTTGTATGCTCATACGCTGTAAGTGCTCATGCTTATAAGCGTTGCTTTTTGGTGTTCAATTTGATTTGTCAGTGCTCAAATTAAATACGTGATGTCATTCATTTTGACTATTGTAAGCGTTAAACTTGAACACGTAATTGATAAGTGACCGTGAGTAATTCACTTCTTATACACTAAAAATGAAAATTTACAAAATTTTAATAAATATTTATTTAAAATAGTATCAATGAGACATTTATTTATAGCGAATAAAAATTTATTCAATAAAAAGTAATACTTTGATTTATTTCTTATTATTTCTTAAAATAAATATTTATTTACTGTAAGCAAATGTCCTATTGCTATTATTTTAACAAATATTACAATTTTGAAAATTTTTTTTCAATGTAACTTTTTTTGTCTTGTTGTATAACTCTCTTGTTTCTTTCCACCGAAGGTGCATTCAAATTGTGGTACTTCATCGGGAGTTAGAGATATCGTGTATATGTTCCCAGTCCGTGTATCTTCTAAATCAATTTAGAACTTCAGAACTTAGAATCAGAACTTTATGTGTTGATGCCATCTTTGTATGAGTAAATTCTTTTTCCTATTTTCTGATGACAATTTAAACATCCAATTCCTTGTTCATCAATAATAAAGTTCTTTTTCTATTAGCACAAAATTGGAAAACGTTTGTAGATATCGTATATAAGTATACAAGTATTACGAGAGCGTTAAAATATACACGCAATCCTATAGATTCGTTAAACATTCCTCCAGGATTGGTAACGTTACCCCATAAAAATAACTCGTTACCGTTCCTTTTCTCCAAAAATAACTCGTTATCATTACTCGTTATGAATTTGCAAAAGTAACTCGTTACTGATACTCAAAATGTAACGAATTACTTTTTCGTTACTTTTTTTGCTTGATTTTTTGTTAACAAAAATATTATAGTTTTTCGCAAAACTCAGTGCACATTAACGCCGTTGTACACTATAGTACTTTAATCTGAATGTAAAAATGAAATATCTCAATTGATATAATGTCTAAAAGACATTTTATCTAATTTAAAAATTTTCAATATTTTATCAAATAATAAAATATATTGAAGATTTTTTTGCGGTTTTCGCGTTTCTATTTTTTTATTAAACATACACATTTGTGTCGATTTGTGTGTACGATTTAAATTGCACTGAGTGCACACTACCCAGATAGCACAGAATATTTATGATAAATGTTTATTAATATTTATTTTGTGAAATGTTATATGTGTAGATATTTCATACATATTTTATATAAAGTTCTATTTATATAAATATTATTAAAATATAGAGTAAATATTTTATGTAATATTTATAATAAATATAAATAAATATTTTTAATAATAAGTATTTTTTTTTTGGATTATAATGTCTCATTAAGTATCTTTACAGCATTTACTATAACATATACGAGGACTGGCTATTAAATAACGAGACTGCGCGCGCAGAAGGCGTCCTAGAGGGGTAGGATGAGAAACGAATGCAGCGTTGGATAGCTGGAAGTGTTTACTATTCCAGTACGAAAACACGTTTTTGTCGCAGTAGCAGTATTTTTTCTATAGAGGTTAGAAACGAACTTGTTTTTTTCTCGTGCCGATAACAATGTGTGACGAAAAACACGAGCAACGGATCAATGTGAAATTTCTCGTTAAATTAAAAAAAACTCCGACTGAGTGCTATAAGTTGTTGAAAGAGGCCTATGGTGAGAATTCTCTATCTCGTGCGCGTGTTTTCGAATGGTATAAACGG